TATGGTCATCGATGGCAATGTGTCGGACCTTTCCGTGAAAGTAAGTCGTGTCGTACTGTTTCTCAGCGCATAAATTGTACACTTTATACGAGTCTAAGCCGTGATTCTTGTCCAGAAAAGCCGCCACATCTTTGATATTATTGCGATAGAAAGCCATTCTTCCTGTCAATCGATGGATCAAATAGATTTAGACCACATTCTTAAGACATATGCATTTTCATGGCTTACCACTGGATGGGAAAGACATGGCAATGATCTGTTCGGTCACATAAGTCAGATCCAAGTCGAAGAGCGAAGTCCGCATTCGGCGCTTATTCTCGGAGACCTTCTGTCGGACACCTCTTCGCACGTTTCGGGGCTCAGTATAGAAGATACGGATCAACATAACCAACCGGATTAGACGCACCACTCGACCAAACAGTACAAGTCTGAGACAATTTGGGATTAAAACAATTGATTAAATGATTTTTATGATTAACATAGAGGTAGAACATGTCATACCGAGTATAACCGCTTAATTCAACGAAACAATAGATTGCGGTCACGAAATAACTGACAAAAATGACCGCAAAGTCCAATGTGTCCAACATATCAGTGAAGAATATATGGATTCTGTTAATGAGATAAACATTTCATTAAAAATTTTTATAAATATTTAGGAATGTAGTAAATGATTTCAGATAGTCTATTGTACAATATATAAAAATAGTTCACTATATAAATATACAGGATATGCTTTGAATTAACATATTTTCAGTAAATTAGATTAAAATCAATGGATTTTTCTAAAATAAAAAATTAGTTAAAAATTAAAATTTTGTTGGGAAAATATCTGATATGAATTGTCGTGAAATACTAAAATCATTTGAAATAAAATTTCACTAAAACTAAATATTTAAAATTTCCAAATATTTATACCAAAAAATTGGCCACAAATTAATAATCATTAATAGACATACGTTTTGGCGTATATTCTGAGCGACACTTCAATCACGAAATAAGTGCCAAAAAGCATCGACAGTGAGTTAAAAATAATGGTTTCGGTGGCGGACTCGTCGACACAGAGATCGACGGCCAGAAGCATTAGATCCACAATTATGATGACCAGACCGAAGAGCCGGAAGTATAGATTCTCCACAATTCGCCGCACTTTTTCCCGCCGATGGACGTAAAAGCCGTGCGATTCGTAACCGTTTCCGTTTCGCTGCGCCTCTTCGTCACCGATCCCTTCCTCCTCCTGTCGGCTGATCTCTATCGTCGGTTCGGCTGTAGTTGTGGTCAACGAGTATTTGTTTTGCGGCACAGATTTGGGCGGCGATTGATTGTTGTTAACACTCGCTGTCAA